AAGTTCCAGGTTCCTAGCTTTGGTCTGGTTCGTCCCTGGTCATTGCAGCCATTTGGGGAGTGAACCAGTGGGTAGAAGATTCTCTCTCTCTCTTTCTCACTCACTCTCACTCTCTCTCTCTCTCTCTCTGTCTCACTTTCTGTAACTCTGCCTTTCAAAATAAATAAGTAAATCTTTCTTTAAAAAATCTATAAGGATAAATTTAAAAAAGCTGAAATGACTGTTTTAAAGAGAGTCAAAGAATTAATAGTAATTACAGGAGGATAACAATTTATTTTTTTTATTTATTTTTTTTTAAGATTTATTTATTAACCAGCGCCACAGCTCACTAGGCTAATCCTCCACCTGCGGCACCAGCACTCCGGGTTCTAGTCCCAGTTGGGGTGCCGGTTCTGTCCGGTTGCTCCTCTTCCAGTCCAGCTTTCTGCTGTGGCCCAGGAAGGCAGTGGAGGATGGCCCAAGTGTTTTGGGCCCTGCACCCGCATGGGAGACCAGGAGAAGCACCTGGCTCCTGGCTTTGGATCAGTGCAGCGCCGGCCGTAGCGGCCATTTTGGGGGTGAACCAACAGAAGGAAGACCTTTCTCTCTGTCTCTCTCCCTCACTGTCTAACTCTGCCTGTCAAAAAAAAATATATTTATTTATTTATTTTGAAAGAGCTGCAGAGAGAGAGAGAGTATATCTTCCACCCATTGGTTCACTCCCCTGATCACCACAATGGCTGGGGTTGGCCAGTCTGAAGCCAGGAGCCAGGAGTTTGGAGCTTCATTTGGGTCTCCCATGTGGGTAGCAGGAGCCCAAACAGTTGGGCCATCTTCTCCTGCTTTTCCCAGGCCATCAATGGGATTGCTGGATTGGAAGTGGAGCAGCTGAAACATGAACCTGCACCCATATGGAATGTGAACCCATTTAGCTTGAGATCTACTCTCAAAATATTTTTCAATACAGTATTTTTAACTATAGGCATAATGTTATATGGCAGATCTCTAGAACTTATTTATCTTGCATTAATGAAAACTTTTATTTTTTGATTATCAGTTTCCATTTTTCCTTCCTTGTGCCTCTGACAACCACTATTCTGTTTTTCTTCTATTAAGTTTGACTATTTTAGATACTTATAGGTTGAATCATGCAGTAGTTGTCTTTGTGTAACTGGCTCATTTCACTTAGCATAATATCTTCCTGGTTCGTCCATGTGACATATTGTAGAATTTTCTTTTTCTATTTGAAGGCTGAGTAATATTCTATTGTATGTTTATAACACATTTTCTTTGTCCTTTCATCTGCTGATAGACACTTTAGTTGTTTCCTTGTTTTGGCTCTTATGAATAGTGCTGCAATTTACATGGGAGTGCTGATATGTCTTTGAGATCCTGGTTTTGTTTCTTTCAGATAAACACCCAGATAGTGGGATTGCTAGGTAATGTGGCCCTTCTATTTTTAATTTTTAAAGGACCTTCCCTACTGTTTTCCATAGCAGATGTACCATTTTTCATTCTTAGCAGCAGTGTGCCAGCCATCTAATTTTTCCACATTACCACCAACCTTGTCTTCTTTTTTTTATAGGTATAATAACCATCCTAATAAGTGTAATGTCACATCCCATTGTGGTTTTGACTTATATTTCCCTGATGATTAGTAACTTTTAGCATCTGTTCAAACATGAGTACCTGTTGTTCTAAGCCTATGTTCTAGCCATCTTAAAATCAACTCCTGATTATTCATGGAAAATTTTTAATCTTGAAACATCTGTGCCATATTATTATAGGAACTAATTCCCCCAACTATCAGTTAGGGCAAATAGCCCTCAAAAAGAAAAACATTTTAGAAACAGTGCTAAAATAATTAAGTTCCAATTAAAAATAATTATTCTACAGATTGGGTCTTATTTGCATTTATCATTTTCCTAAGCTAACTCTAAAAATTAAGGAATTATTAAAGATATGAAGAGGATATTTCTGTAATCTTCCTTCAGGTCTTCAGGGAAATACTCTGGGATCTAGTCGAGCTTCTGTGTTTGTGATAAATACAGGTTTTAAAGACCTCTCCGTAATTCTGAAGCAAACTATTGTATTCTGGAACTTTGAGTTAAATATTCTACCATACCATATTGATGACTCATGGAGAATCTCAATTGTTGGTAATTAATGTTTCTACCCCATCTGGGTATAATGCAGTTTAGGTCTGTCACTGACTATTCTGAGTTAATGCAACCACAATGGTTAAGGACACTCTTCCCCAAGAATGACCTTACTTAAGATGCCAGCTCAGGTTTTTCAGGGTTCCCTGGCCACCTGCACTTCTCATTGTCCAAATTTGGGGCTCCCCGTGAAACCATCATGTTCAATACTTTGGTCGAATGACTCACAGTGCTCAGGAAAATACTTTGTTATAATTTTAATTATAAGGATACATACAGGATGAAGCCCAGGAGCTTCTGTGCACTCCCTCATTCAGCCAGGGCATGCACCCTTCCAGCACATCAGTGTGTTCAACAACCAGGAAGCTCCAAAGAGCTTTGGTATTTAGAATCTTTCTGGGTTCTATTAATTAGGCACAATTAATTAAATCATTGGTCATGTTATTGAACTAAATCTCCAGCACTGCCCCCCTCAGGTGGGAGTCAGGGCTGAAAGTATCCAAACCTCTAATCAAGTGCTCGGTGTCCAGTTTTCTATTCTGAAGCTATTTGGGGGCCCCCAAGAATTGCTCTGTAACAAAGACCCTGGTATCACTCAGATAATTCCAATTATTTTTGAAGCTCTGAGCCAGGAACCCAGGATAAATTATTTATTATATCACATGTCACCCCTGAGCTATAACTCTGGATTCCTTATAGCAAGAATCATTCCCATCAGTAGCACCAACATGAATCTGCCTGTTGCTTGAACAAGTCAGTGTGAGGTTGGGATTGGAAGCTTTTAATTCAATTGCCAATACATTTTGTACATCAATATCAGTACTATACTCTTACCAATAATAGTCAAAAGATGCTAGCACATTACTAGAGTCCTTATAGTCATTAATAATTAGTCTAGTCCATCATCATGTTCTTTGACCAAAACGTCTTCCAAGTTAAGGTCACTGAGGTTTGTGGGATTCAGTTCACTTTTGTTGGCTTCCAAAAGCAAGAGAAGTCTCAGCAATATGTGGCTTCACCCTTTCAAGCATCTGGTATAACTGAGCTGAGAGACAGTATCATTATCTTGCTGAGTCTCTTGTGAAGCATTACTGTAATATTAGGTTTCACTCATCGCATAACCCATTTACTCATTCCTTCTTTCTCAGCTAGTATTTCCCCTTTCCATATTTCTATCACTAGACAATATAATTGCATTCAGTGTTAACCCCAAATTTGCCAGAGGGAGTGAAAATTCAGCCTCTCCCATTCCCCACCCATTGTTCCCCAAACCCACCAAAAACAACCATAGGAATCTATCTAGTGCAGATACTCTATTCCCTTTACATTTCTTATGTTGAGTGAGCATGCACTCACACAGGCCAAGTCCAGAATCAAGGATCTCCATCCTGGTTTTCCACATGGTGGCAGGGGCTTCTGCTGCCTTCTCAGATGCATTAGCAGGAATGCTGATTCAGAAATGAAGTAGCCAGGATTCCAACCAGCACTTTGATATGGAGTGCTGATGTTGCAAGTTACAGCTTAACCCACTGTGATACAATGTTGCCCCCCTTTATTATTTTTATTTTGCATTTTCTTAGGCATTTAGTAAGCCAGTTCCCTACAAGTTGAATATATCATTTCTAAATTCTGAGGGTAAATTTTTTGTCCCATAACTTATTACAGTGTAACAGCTGTTTTATACCATGGGCAACCTATAATCACAGAGGAATCAAAGGTTCCTTATCCCCTGTTCTTTTTTCTTCATTTTCCCAAACAACATGTTTCAGTGATTCTGGGTCATTCTACTAAACCCTATGTTTCCTAACACTGACTATTCCATTTTCATCTCAACTAGGGCAATTAATTTCTGTCACTACTTGGATTTACTGCAGATCCCAAAGTTTAAGGGCAAAGTCTTCCACAAGACCACCACAGTTCAGATGCAAGCCACAAGCCTCTGGGGATTCCCAGGCCATCTGCTTTTCTGGCTACAAATTCAGTACTTCCCATGACCCTGTCAAGTTTTATAATTGACTCATAGAACTCAAGAAAGCTATACTTAGAATTATGGTTTTATTATAAAGGATACACATACTGTGAGGCCTGGAAAGGAACACAGAAGATGTATCATCTTCCTAGCACATCAGTGTGTTCTCCAACCAGGAAGCTCTTCTGAGATTTGTTGTCCAGAGTTTTTATGGGATTTTATTATAAGGGATGATTAATCAGATCACTGGCCACATGCCTAAAGTCATTGTACAGTTCCTTTCCCATCTTCAGAATTTAGAGACCTAAAAGTTCCAAGCTTCTAATTACATGTTTAGTCTTCCTAATTATCAGTCCCTATCCTGAAGCCATCTAGGGATCCACCAAGACTCTCCTCAAGAGCGTAACAATAACACTGCAGTGGCTCAGGGATCTAAGGCTTTTGAAATTCCTAGAGAGAACCTGGATTAAGATCAGACAAATTATTTACTATACCATTAGCGGTATATTAATAACAGAAAACTGAATATTACATAACATAATTCCTGGCTGTACTACAAACAGCAATTTTAATTAGGAAGGTGTTTTAGAAAGAAGTCTTCTGTTCTACTGGTTTTCTGTTTGTTTGTTTGTTTTTTAAGAAATGTGACCCTATTAACAACTAGGAATTTTGTGCTGCTGTTCTTCTGTCTGATAGATACTCTGTGGCCTAAAGAGTTGAATAATTTCTCATGAGGCTTATGATAATCCACTGAAATTTACCAATAAATGAAAATTTTATTTGGGGAATGAACCAACAGATGGAAAGATCTCTCTCTGTCTCTCTGCCTTTCAAATAATTTCTTTTAAAAATTCTTATACAACATATAGATTAATGTCATATTTTTTTTCAAGTCATCTTCCTCTTTGAAGCAACAACCGGAAAACCATTAGGTGATGGGAAGCTTCTTTCTCATAAGGTAATGGACATTAGCTATTTCCAATGTAAATAACCACTGTGTATTTACTTCTTTTCAAAATCCTTATTTTCATTTTGAGGAAGAAAAGATAGTAATCAGATTTATACCTAAAATTAGTGCACAAGTTACAGAGAGTATTCTGTCTGAAAATGCTCTGGTAAAGTTTGTGATGAAAAGCCAGTAGATGCAAATTAACTGAACAGAAAGATTTCATGTATTTATCTATTGTCCAGCCTCTTTACTGCTTTTCCACAACATATTCTACTTTTATTGAACTTTTAGTACCTATTAGTAAATAAAAATGTTTTATGTTTCTGAATGTCTTGTGTTTTCCTCAAAATGTTTAGAGTCAGTGATATCTTTATATTTTAAGATTATTGTTAAGCTGGAAAAGAAATTATTCTCTCTAGAAGTACAAAAGGACCCTGAATTGTGAATTATTTATCAGCTTCTGATTTTTAGCCTTAAAATAATAAAGAAACACATTGAGTTAACCTTCTAAATAATTGGCATATTACAATCTAAAGATGCCTTTAACTTTATTGTTGAATACTTCTAGGAAGTAATATTCTTAAATTATATTTTCTTTCTGTAATTCTTACATTAAAATTTGAATAATGAATACATTCATCTGGTTCAGAAGTCAAAAAATATTAAAATGTATGCAGTGAAAAAGTCATCCTAGTGCACCTCTTATTCATTAATATAGTTCTTCTTATATATCTTTCCAGAGATTTTTAATACAAAGCTGATGTACATTTTTTCTCTCCTGTTTTACAAAAATGTAACATACAACTCTACATCTTGCTTTTTTACATAGTATTTTTGGAGATATTTCCATATTAAATAAAGTGCTTTCCCAACCCTTTTCCCCTCCACTGGTAAATATAACATTTTATGTATATATCAGAATTTATTTAACCTGTTCCCAGATAATGGACATTTAAGTTATTTAGTCTTACTCTTACAGTATTGCCAAGATAGATTGCCTTAAATATACATCTTCTTGCACGTATGCTGATATAATTATAGATTAATTTTTTTAGGTTTATTTATTTGAAAGAGTTACAGAGAGAGGGAGAGACAGAGAGATCTTCCATAAGCTGGTTCACTCCCCAAATGGCCACAATGAAACTAGGGGCCAGGAGCTTCTTCTTGGTTTCCCACATCTGTAGCAAGGGCCCAAGAACTTGGCCATCTTCCTCTGCTTTGCTCAGACCATTAGCAGGTAACTGGATCAGAAGTGGAGCCGCCAGGACATGAACAAGTGGCCTTATGGGATGGCAGCACTGCAGAAGGCAGCTTTGCCCACTAAGCCACAATGCCAGCCCCTGTAGATTAATTCTTTTTTTTTTTACTATATTTTTCATCAATTTTTTTAATTTTTTAAGAAAACTTTTTTTTAATAAATATAAATTTTGAAAGTACAACTTTTGGATTGTAGCGGTTCTTCCCCCTCATAACCACCCTCCGACCCACAAACTATCCCATCTCCTACTCCCTCTCCCATCCCATTCTTCATCAAGACTCATTTTTAATTACCTTTATATACAGAAGATCAGTTTAGTATATACTAAGTAAAGATTTTGACAGTTTGCACCCACACAGACACACAAAGTGTAAAGTACTGTTTGAATACTAGTTTTATCATTAATTTGCATAGTATAACAAATTAAGGACAGAGATCCTACATGGGGAGTAAGTACCAGTGACTCCTGTTGTTGATTTAACAATTGACACTCTTATTTATGATGTCAGTAATCATCCGAGGCTCTTGTTATGAGCTGCCAAGACTATGGAAGCCTCTTGAGTTCACACACTCTGACCTTATTTAGACAAGGCCATAATCAAAGTGGAAGTTCTCTCCTCCCTTCAGAGAAAGGTACCTCCTTCTTTGATGGCCTGATCTTTCCACTAGGATCTCACTCACAGAGATCTTTCATTTAGGTCATTTTTTGCCACAGTGTCTTGGCTTTCCATGCCTGAAATACTCTCATGGGCTTTTTAGCCAGATCCAAATGCCTTAAGGGCTGATTCTAAGTTCAGAGTGCTGTTTAGGGCATTTGCCATTCTATGAGTCTACTGTGTATCCCACTTCCCATTTTGGGTCGTTCTCTCCTTTTTAATTCTATCAATTATTATTAGTAGACACTGGTCTTATTTATGTGATCTCTTTGACACTTAATCCTATCTTTATGATCAATTATGAACTTAAACTGATCACTTGGACTAGTGAAATGGCATTGGTACATGCCAACTTAATGGGATTTGCAGTCTCATGCCACGTTTCTAGCTCTACTATTAGGGGTAAGTCCGAGTGAGCGTGTGCTGTACTGTACATCATCTCCCTCTCTTAGATTAATTCTTGAAATATTGTTGCTGGGTCAAAGGATATGACCCTTTATAATTTTAATAAGTATTGTCAAATTATTTTCCAAGGAAATTATATCAACTTAATTGATATGAGATGCTTATTTCCCTGCAACCTTCCCATTGTCATTTTGACTCAGGACTGTGTAAGCAGAATTTTTCCTTTTCAGTAGGATTAAGCATATAAAAAAGAGTATATGTTTCACTTCTCAAGATGTATTCACTTTTATTAACAGGACTAAAATAAGAATCATTTAAGAAGGGTAGATAAACATTTTAAGATGTATTTATTTATTTATTTATTTATTTGAAAGGCAGAATGACAGAGAGAGGGAGAGACAGAGAATGAGAGACAGAGTGAGATTGGAAGAGATCTCCATCTGCTGGTTTACTCCCCAAGTGGCTGCAACAGCCAGAAGCTGTGAACTCCCTACTGGTCTCCCACCTGGATGGCAGAGGCACAAGTACTTGGGCCATCATCCACTGCCTTTCCAGACACATTAGCAGGAAGCTAAATTGGAAGTCGAACAGCCGAGCTTGAACTCGCACTCCAGTATGGGATACCAGCATAATAAGGGGCAGATTGCTCTGCTGTGCCACATGCTGGCCCCAAACATTTGTTTTAATGTGATAAATTTTTCAAGAACACTTTTCTTAAGTGTAAGAATTACCTAAATACAAGAAATATATGATTTTCTAATTAGAAGGTGAAGGTGACTTCTTCTACCTTTCACACTTCACTCAGTTATATAGTACATTATAGAAAACATAAAAGATATGTATTACAAAGGATTTCACATTTTTACATTAGAGAGAATATTATAAAGATTACCCAATCTATTTTATTTCATATACAAAGAACTCAAGATCTAAGATCTTCCCAAATAATAAGAGCCCAAATTAGAACTTTAGTCTGTGTATTATTAAATGAATATTAATTAATGTAGGGCAAGGGAGAAGGTCCTAATAAGCACAAATTTTCTTTCAAGTCCCAGTGCAAAGGTGACCCAAGAGGAATAGAACAAAAGCAGAGACAGTGAAACTGGATGAGAGGAAAATGGGAAGACCTGCTGAATGAAGGAGGAATCCCCTTCTCCTGTAGACATAGGCACTGTTATCGTTATTATCCATCTTTAACTTTGAATTTCTTGGGTGGTAGAATCATGTCTGCTTAACAGTGTTTTAAAAAAGGTTCTTCTGACGGTGATGATAAGCAATTCTTTACTATAAAGATCAGTTTCTCTGCACCCCATGGGAGACCAGGATAATCGGAGGGTGAACCAATGGCAAAAGGAAGACCTTTCTCTCTGTCTCTCTCTCTCTCACTGTCCACTCTGCCTGTCAGAAAAAAAAAAAAAGAAAGAAAGAAAAAAAAGGCAAAAAAAAAAATACTTAAGAGTTTTACTTCATGTATGCCTTGATATACATACAACTTATTTTTTTCCTTAAATTATGTTATAATATTCTAGAGAACTGAATTTTAAAAAATGTATTGTGAACTGATCCATCAATTTGAAAAAGGGTTATGCATATTTTGTTTTGTTTTGTTTTGTTTTGTTTTGTTTTAAAAGGTCTCGTAATACAGTGACTTGATGGTGTGATTGTGATTCTTGTTGAATTCAGTTTTCAGACATAGTAGACAGTAAATAAATCCATCTTTAATTGAATCGAAATGAATCCATACTAAACCAATTCCTAGTTATAAGAAAATTCATCTCACTAGCTATTACTATAAATTAATTTAATATGCACGAATTACTTTGTTGTGGGAATAGTGATAATCTCAAAATCAAAAATCTATGTTGTAAGTTTTAGAAATGCTAGGTACCAGCTTTTTCTGAGTAAAACCACTTAATGAATATGGGTCTCAGTTTCTCATTTGCAAAGTAAGTGTATACCTACATCAAGTCTTCTATTTCACATGAAATGATTGTACAATTTAAGGCTCTGAAACATGAGTTATTTCCATATATTTTGAGAACAGCACTGTGGCCTCAGAATCAGCCCTTAAGGCACTCAGATGTGGCTGAAGAGCCCATGAGAGTATTTTAGGCATGGAAAGCCAAGACACTCTGGGAAAAAAAAAAAAAAAGACCTAAATGAAAGATCTCTGTGAGTGAGATCCCGGTGGAAAGAACGGGCCATCAAAGAAGGAGGTACCTTTCTCTGAAGGGAGGAGAGAACTTCCACTTTGATTATGGCCTTGTCTAAATAAGATCGGAGTTGGCGAACTCAAAAGGCTTCCATAGCCTTGGCAACTCATGACAAGAGCCTAGGGTGATTACTGACGCCATAAACAAAAGTATCAATTTGTTAAGTCAACAACAGGAGTCACTGTGCACTTACTCCTCATGTAGGATCTCTGTCCTTAAAGTGTTGTAAAATGTGAATTAATGGTATAACTAGTACTCAAACAGTACTTTACACTTTGTGTGTCTGTGTGGGTGCAAACTGTCAAAATCTTTACTTAGTATATACTAAACTGATCTTCTGTATATAAAGATAATTAAAAATGAGTATTGATGAAGAATGGGATGGGTGAGGGAGTGAGAGAAAGGGATGCTTGTGGGTGGGAAGGTGGTTATGGGGAGAAAAAGCCACTATAATCCAAAAGTTGTACTTTCAAAATTTATATTTATTAAATAAAAGTTAAAAAAAGCAATGAAATTTTTGCAATGCAAAAAAAAAAAGAAAATGTATTACCAATTTTTAAAATGTAGATGTTAGGCAGTCTACTTAAAATAAATTGTTGTGTGAGAAACTTATTAATGAAATCAGACCTCTCATGTGATACTCAGATTTGCTACACCCTCACCCCTGTCTGCTAAAGGTAGGACAGGAGGCCAGAAGAGAGTGTTTCTCAGCTGACAGAGTATCAAAATATGTGTTACTTTATTGTATCTTAGGGGTCGCCTTGGATTTTAGGCATTATAACTTATGCTTTTGAATTATCAGTATGTCAGCAATTTAAAATTATTTAAGAGGAACATTTTATGATTATAGTAAGTGAATGACACATTTAATTGGTCTTTAATGATGAAATGATCTTTTAACTAAAAAATGATCTATCTCAAGCCTATAGCTAATCCAGTTTATACATTTTTTTTTAAATTTTAGAATGAAATCTTGGAAATTGCTCTGGACCAAAAAGGACTTACCCATGATAGAAAAATTGCTTTCATTGATAAAAACAGAGATCTCTATATCACTTCAGTGAAGCGATTTGGGAAGGAAGAACAAATTATCAAACTTGGTAAAATAATTTTAACACATTTTAAATTTCAATTATTATTAGCTTTCTTAGGTCTACTTTGTAGCATATTAGTAGTTTACTTGCTAGAATGAATCTGAGAATGTCTTGGTATAGCTGTTTTTCTTAGCTGCTTAACTCCATTTTAATAGTAATCCTTTAGCTGCTGCACCTAAATTGGCATTCAAAAGAAAAACCTGCAAATTAAAAATATAATGGTTCTAGCAAGAACATTCATGTATTTTCAGAAATTCTTATGTAGATTAGTACATGTATTTTCAACATTATACAGTCAGAAAGTCATCATAAGAAGTTAGATGGGATCTTGTTTCTTAGCTGATTTTTAAAATATATTTTAATAACTTCATACTGAAACTAATTTACTTTTTTGTACAAAGGAACAATGGTGCATACTTTAGCGTGGTGTGATACATGCAATATCCTTTGTGGACTTCAAGATACTCGATTTACAGTGTGGTATTATCCCAATACAGTTTATGTGGACAGAGACATTTTGCCAAAAACGTTATATGAAAAGGATGCAAGGTAACATTTTATTGCATAGAATCCTTTATTGTGGTAAATAAAACTCTAATGGTATATCATGTTCAGCTGAAACTAACTTAACAAGATTTAAGCGATGAAAACAAATTATATAATATGAATTATTTGTCTAATAAACAAAGTTTTCAAGCTTAGTGTTGTCTAATGGTAACTCAGTTGGTTCTTTCAATGTGATTTAGTGGTTTTAATATAGAAACTCATAAGATTTTCTCCATAACGCACAATCTTATGACAACTACCCAGTATATAGATTCTGATTAACTTTATGAATTTCAGGAAATGTTTCAGTATGTTTCTCTAAAGTTTATTTTTTTAGTTGATATTAAAAACAGAAAACACCCCACAAGATTATTGAAAAGTTCTTTTTTAAACCTGAGTGCTTCAGAAAATCAAATACATTTACATCCTGGAATTCTCTTCAGAAATAGCAAAGAACTCTCTTACTCTTGACATAATAGAAATAAGGATTCTGACTCAAATTCTGTTTTGAGTTCATTCTTAATATTTAATCAGGTTTACAACCTTAGCAAAATCGGAGAAGCATCAACATTAAACTTACTTTTAGAAGTATTTAAACTAATGAAAATAAGTCACTTTATTTAAAGTTCATCTTCTTTTTCATTATGAAAAAATAATTCTGGGTAGCTTAATTTTTATTGGTTTACCCTTTAATACTTTTAAAAGCAAAAAAAAGTCAAGTTGTTTAACCATTTACATGATTTATCTTAGGACTCAGGGAAAAAAAGGTTACTTCAAATGCTTTTAGAAATATTTCTTAGATATGTAATAAGTTTTACTACTTTTAAACCATATGTTTTGTGTCAAGTATATCAAAATGGCAAGTTTTGTTCAAATGTTTATTTGAAGATATGCATTCTCCCTGGAGTTAACTATTCTGAGGGTCCTTGTTAGAGATTGGAGACTTCATGTATATGTGGCAGGGGTCTAACTTCCCAAATTGAACATATATGAAAAATTTTGCCCAGAATATAGCTTGAAATTAAACTTTGCTTTTTTTCAACAGTGAATTTAGTAAAAATCCCCATATTGTGAGTTTTGTTGGAAATCAGGTAACTATAAGAAGAGCTGATGGCTCCCTGGTTCACATCAGCATATCACCATATCCAGCTATTCTCCATGAATATGTAGGCAGCTCAAAATGGGAAGATGCTGTAAGACTTTGTCGCTTTGTTAAGGTACTTTATGTTTCACATCCGCAGCTGTGTATATATTGTGTGTTAGTTTACCGTTGGGCAACATGAATAGTGATAATAGATAAAGGTTCAAAAATTGTGAATGGGATCCTGTCTTTTGTAAGGGAAGACCTGAGCAACACAGATGGTTAGGTGTTGTTGAATGATTTATTCTTTGAGAAAACTATAATTCAGACTAGTAGTTTCTATAAGTTATCACATATAAAAACTTTTGTTAAACTTTCTTAAAAGTCAGGTTGACAAGTTCTACGAAAAGATTCTAATTCATTCGATCTGGATTGATGCTTAAGCATAGTTTTGCAGTTCCTCCAATGATTCTCTGTTACAACTAAGGCTAACAATCTCTGCAATAGATCAATATTTTCCAATTTGGTTGAACCCAGTATTTTCCAAACATATTAGAGTATAGGCCTCTTTTACTGAACATTATTTAACATCCCTTAGGATAGATTTTGTGGAGTGACTTTTAGAAGCTTTTTCTTATGATGGTTTGTGGGTGGCAATCTGCCACAATAGCATTGTCTGAGATTCTTAGTATACTCTGGTTCTCTCTAAGTTATATCTTTGACACCTCACTTGAATTATTTAAAATTCAAAAATAAATCTTTTATAAATAGATATGTATCACTTCTAAGCCTTTTGGCTAAGATCAAGTGTATAAGTAGAAGTGAAAATTTTAAGAAACTTTTATTCAGAAGAAGTTTTCTCTGCAGTACTAATATATATCAACAAAGTAGCCACAATGAAATTTCCAAGTCATTAATTTATTAAGTTATTAGTTTTTTCATTGCCAAGCTCAGTGATTTTTTTTTATTTTTAAAACTGTAAAGTAATTTTACTATGACTGTTTAAATCACAGTTATGCCAGGTAGTTGAGATCATTGTTCTCTTTTCACTTTAGGAGCAAACCATGTGGGCCTGCCTAGCTGCTATGGCAATTGCGAATCAAGACATGACAACTGCAGAAATAGCCTATGCAGCAATTGGTGAAGTATGTAAATAAGGTTTACTTATATTACTGGTATAGGTTTTTTTCTTAACATAATTTGTTATGTTTCTGTTATTATCCTCTTCAACTATTTTTTCTTTTTAGATTGATAAGGTTCAATACATCAATTCTATAAAAGATCTTCCATCTAAAGAATCAAAAATAGCCCATATACTAATGTTTAGTGGGAACATACAGGAGGCTGAAACAGTGCTTCTTCAGGCTGGCCTTGTTTATCAGGCAATCCAGATTAATATTAATCTCTACAACTGGGAAAGGTAATAAAAATGCTTTTTATCAATTTCAAAACTCAGTTGACTTTAATATGTTGTTCTACAACTTAGTGAATTAAAATTTTTCACTGTACTTGATTGTTTCCTCACACCACAGATGAATTAACTCTTATTTTTATTTGTTAATAGTTTACAATGAAAGATTTATGCCTTCTCTAACTTGTGATTGATTAAAGTTGAGGTGTAAAGAACATAAGAGAGTCTAGGATGACTGCCAAGTTTCTGATTTCAGTAACTGGGGAAATGATGGTATCATTAGCAGATCTGTTAGGCAACATAGTAAGTTCAGTTTTAACCAAGTTGAATTTGAAATATTTGTGAAGAGATATGTGATAATAGTTGATTAAATGGATCTGGAGTTCATTAGAAAGATTTTAGCTATAGATGTAGATTTAGGAGTCATCAACAAATGGGCAGTAATTGAAGCCAGAAGAATGGATAAAATTGCCTAGGGAATGTGTGGAGTAAGAAAACATCTACATTTATAGGATAAGTGAAAGAAGTCAACCAAAAGGTTATCCCATAAAGCAGAGAGAGAAGAGACAAGTCAAGAGAGAGTTGTGGAGCTCAGGAAGAAAAAGGAAGAGATTTATAGTGAGGAGTGGTTAGCAGCAACCTTCACTCCTTCATTAGGCTTTGGGTCAGATTGTTTTCTGAGACACAGCGGCGTGCTGCTGTTCTCCATGATATATTAGCTTCATCCACTCAACCTCCCCGCTATGTGTCTCTTAGCGACAAAACTGTAGTGTTTATATACTCCTAAAGTTATTATGTTATGAAATTGGTATATTTTTCCAGGTTCATAATGTCTTTTATGATCTTTATTTTGCTTTGTGCTCAAAAATAACCCATATAGTTCAATTTCAAATTCCTTACAACTCTCTTAAATTAGAATTTTTATAGGTATTGTCACTGTATTTTTCCCTTAGAGAGAAGTAACAAAAATGGCAGATGGTTAATTGTGTGATTGATATACTATAGTCTGTTCATTAAATGTTTGTCTTAATGACCAATACTATTCATGTAATTCACCCACTCTGTTTTTTTGTCCTTCATTTACACAAATCCACTGTCATTGTTTACATGTATAAAAGATCATGAAAAATGTTAACTCTACAAAGTGAATAGGTCATTGCCTTGCCCTCAGTTTATTCATAATACTTAAGGTTTTTGTTTAGAGAGTATGAATAGTATTTTAAAACTATTAATAACTAATAAAAATTGTATATACTATTACTAAGCTATCAGATTCTATGAGAAATAAGAAAGAATAAAATTTTCAACATTCTTTTAATCAATGTTTTTGAGAAAGTGTTTCACAATTCGTGTAGTACTTGGAACATTGTACAGTAAAACGAAAATTCTTTTATTGTCTTTTTTTTTTTTTTTTTGGACACTCAGAGTTAGACAGTGAGAGAGAGAGACAGAGAGAAAGGTCTTCCTTCCGTTGGCTCACCCCCTATATGGCCGCTACAGCCAGCGTGCTGCACTGATCTGAAGCCAGGAGCCAGGTGCCCCCTCCTGGTCTCCCTTGCAGGTGCAGGGCCCAAGCACTTGGGCCACCCTCCACTGCCTTCCCGGGCCATAGCAGAGAGCTGGACTGGAAGAGGAGCAACCGGGACAGAATCCGGCTCCCCAACCGGGACCAGAACCCAGGGTACTGGCGCCGCAGGTGGAGGATTAGCCAAGTGAGCCGTGGCACCAGCCAATTGTCCATATCTTAAAAAGCTTAAAACCTAGGTAGGAATTCTATTTGTTTTCATTAATAATAAAACTTCCATTTACTGAGTGCTTATTATATGCAAGGAGTTAATTGTACTGAAGAATTTCTGTGTATCATCTCATTAGGTTATCTAACAACTCTGATAATAGTTATTACCAACTCCATTTTACAAATTTGGGCTATGCCTGTGTGGCCTAGTGGAGTGTCTGCTCTTTCAGTGAATACCCAGAATCATGTCCTGTGTGTGGCCAGGGAACTCTTTTCAGTTCTGCAGTATGAGGGGAGTATCCAAGGTGACACCCAAGTTGGGCGTGTTAAATCTCTTTTTTTTTTTTTTTAAATCAGTGAAGAGGTTTGATCAGCTCTATTGTAGTCTCAAGCCAACCTCCTCTGCTCCAAGGAAACCAATGCCTAGGCGCTAGATCCAGTGGATACAATAATATTCTTTAGCATTGCCACAAAAACCACACAAAGTAACCATGCAGTCCTCAGTGTAAGGTACTGATCCTGTAGTATTGACTCTCACCAGGGAATCAGAGGACCCCAGTCATGTGGAGCCACCCACAGTGACTGCCCAAAGACCTAACCACATCTTGCACCCTCCCACACAGCTACAGTGTTTTCACAGTTCCAGCACACAAGGCTCCCACAGTCATAAGCACCCAGCCCCCTATCAGTTCTCCCAGCCAGACTCAGGGGTCTCCTCTGGGCTGGTTGCTGGGCGTGCCCACAAGCTGGTGCAGCTGTTACATATGTTCAATATGGTGCCCACCATCTCCGCTAGTTACAGGACACCAGTTCCAAATGGTTGGAGAGAGAGAAACCTGCTCCCTTTCTTCCCCTCTAGTTTGGCAGGTACGCTGTACCCCACAGGCTCCAAGCCGTACTCCTGCCAGTCTCTTCCCACAGCTTTATCACCAGTGGCTTGGGCTCCAGCAGTCTGGTCTCACCTCACTCTCCAAAGTTGGTACTGAGGCTCTCGGATGCTGGGATCCTGAGTCAGGCTCTTCCACACCCTCCATGTAAATCCACAGTTTCCCTCTAATTTGCATGGAGTCTTCTGCAACTTTCTCCCTAACTCTTTTTTGATATTATATTCTCTCCACTTCTTTAAAACTATCTTTCCATAGACTAGAGCAGTAAGCTCTCTCCCTATTCTGCCATCCTGGAATCCTCTGATCACATTTCCATTTAAATATCTCACACGTTTGAATTCAAATTTGTATCTAATTCTCAGAAACTTGGTCCTCTTTCAGGGTAATCTGTCTTATCCTTTTAGTTTCACAGAGCTAAAAATCTTTGGAGTTACTTTTGACATTTTCTTCCCATTCTACCCTTCCTGTTATCTCTGACACATGTCTGCTCATCCACTTCACTAGCAGCACTTTGTCTCAGTTGATGAAAGTTTTTCTGTGTTGTCAGCAATGATTTCCCTGTGTCTACTCTGTTACTTTCCTAGCCATTGTTTATCCTGCAGTCATAGTGATCTTTTCAGAATGGAAATCTGATCATGTCGCTCTTGACCACTGCACATTACAATGAAATCCATAGTTTCCCACTGATTTTAACCCAAATATCAGGACTGAATAAGAAATTATTTCAAGCAATCAGCAGAAAGCTGTTAAGAAACTTAAGAAATTTAAGTAGTGTCTCATTTCCAAATTCTGTGACATTTATGGAACATTTAACAAGTATTTTCTTAATATCTATCATATTAGGCATATTTATATAATATGTGCAATATATTTTTTTAAAACATCTACAGTCTTTGTTAAAATCTGTGGTCATTTTAAATGTACTTATAGGAAAGGGCTGCTGAGTGGAAAAGTGGTGAATGTTGTGATAAAGAATGATGACTTTCGGCCGGCGCCGCGGCTCACTAGGCTAATCCTCCGCCTAGCGGCACCGGCACACCAGGTTCTAGTCCCAGTTGGGGCGCCGGATTCTGTCCCGGTTGCCCCTCTTCCAGGCCAGCTCTCTGCTGTGGCCAGGGAGTGCAGTGGAGGATGGCCCAGGTGCTTGGGCCCTGCACCCCATGGGAGACCAGGAAAAGCACCTGGCTCCTGGCTCCTGGCTGGCGGTGCGCCGGCCGCAGGGTGCCAGCCGCGGCGGCCATTGGAGAGTGAACCAGCGGCAAAGGAAGACCTTTCTCTCTGTCTCTCTCTCTCACTGTCCACTCTGCCTGTCAAAAAAAATAAAAAAAAAAAAAAGAAAGAAAAAAAAGAATGATGACTTTCATGATTTGGGTGTTTGGTGGTATGTTTAAGATGCCACTTGTAGTACTTACTTCCTGTATCAGAGTGCCTGAGTTCAAGTCCTGGCTCTACTCTCCATTCCAGCTTTCTGCTATGTGCACCCCAGGAGGTAGAAGGTGATGAATTAAGTAGTTGTTTCTTTGCTACCCACCTGGAGACCCCCGCAGACTAAGTTCTGGCTCCTGGTTTTAGTTTGGTTCATCCCTGGCTGTGACCAGCATTTGAATCAGTAATGAAAGGTATCTCTCATACATACACTCTATCTCTCTCACCCTTTCAAAAATAATAAAATTTTTCCCAAATAAACCTTTTATTTAAGGAATACAAACTTCATGATTTTCATAAGTACAACTTTAGGAATATAGTGATTCTTCCACCATACCTCCCCTCCCACCCACACTCCCACCCCTCCTCCTCTTCCCTCTCCCATTCCCAGTACCATTCTCCCCTAGGATCCATTTTCAAGTAACTTTATACACAGAAGACCAACTCTATACTAAGTAAAAAGTTCAATAATTTGCACGAGAAAAAAAAAAACAACTGTTCCTCAACAATCGAGAAAAAGGGCTGTTCAAAGTCATTGCATCTTGAAACTTAAATTTTTTTTAGAAACTTACTTAAATTTAAAGAAGCATCCAAGAGTGATACATCTTTTGCAAGCATTTACACATAATTATAATACAATTCTTTGAGTACAGAAATCCTGCATGGGAAGTTAGTGCACAGTCACTGATTCTTATTGTTAATTAATTAATTAATTTTTTTTTTTTGACAGGCAGAGTGGACAGTGAGAGAGAGAGACAGAGAGAAAGGTCTTCCTTTTGCCGTTGGTTCACCCTCCAATGGCCGCCGTGGCTGGCGCGCTGTAGCTGGCGCATCGCGCTGATCTGAAGCCAGGAGCCAGGTGCTTCTCCTGGTCTCCCATGCGGGTGCAGGGCCCAAGCACTTGGGCCATCCTCCACTGCACTCTCGGGCCACAGCAGAGAGCTGGCCTGGAAGAGGGGCAA